TGTTATTTACTTAAAACTTTATTTTAAATATAATTAGTAAAATAACATTAATCTATGCATCCTATCGAGATGATATTACGATAATCTAATTCATCGTTAAATTCTACATTGATTTCATATATAATATGTTAATATTTGATCAAAAATCTCAAACAATTTTATTTTTTACTTTGGTTTGGTTTTTTATATACAATACATTCTTCATTTTATTTTTACATTTATTGGGGAGGGATTTATTTGTCCCATGCCCGACATCCAGGGCATAAGGGTTGGAGTCCCCATCGCTTGCAATATTCATTCTAACGCCAAATACAACGCCAAAGAAAACGTTAAGTTCTTTTAAACAATATAGGCAAGGCAGTATTATAATGTTTTGTATGTAAAATTGTGTGTTACTGTGCTCTCAGATAACTTTACAACGGTAGCTCAATAAACGCTAATTGTTCTCTATTGGCTATCGTTGAATAATTATCAATAAATAACATTAAATTAATGAAAAATTTGATAAAAGATTATTATGTAAATCAAGATAGCAAACAGATCCGGGGAATGACAAACTGTACCTTATTGGTCAGTGAGAGGTGAATCTAACTGACCCGATGTCCAAGCAAAACTCTTATAGATTAAATATATAAAATATAAAACAAAAGAGATAGCAAACAGATCCGGGGAATGACAAACTGTACCTTATTGGTCAGTGAGAGGTGAATTAAACTGACTCGCCGTCCAACAAAAACTCTTATAGGTCAAATATATAAAATGTAATGTAAATAAAGATAGCAAACAGATCCGGGGTATGACAGACTGTAACTTATAGGTCAGTGAGAGGTGAATCAGACTGACTCGCCGTCCAAGCAAAACTCTTATAGGTCAAATATATAAAATGTAATGTAAATAAAGATAGCAAACAGATCCGGGGTATGACAGACTGTAACTTATAGGTCAGTGAGAGGTGAATTAAACTGACTCGCCGTCCAACAAAAACTCTTATAGGTCAAATATATAAAATGTAATGTAAATAAAGATAGCAAACAGATCCGGGGAATGACAGACTGTAACTTATAGGTCAGTGAGAGGTGAATCAAACTGACTCGCCGTCCAAGCAAAACTCTCATAGGTCAAATATATAAAATGTAATGTAAATAAAGATAGCAAACAGATCCGGGGTATGACAAACTGTAACTTATAGGTCAGTGAGAGGTGAATCAAACTGACTCGCCGTCTAAACAAAACTCTTATAGGTCAAATATATAAAACAATATATATCGTTTATTTTAATCCGGATAATACTGTTAGAAGCGAGATATTCATAGATCCGGATGACGTGCCCTCCGTAGTACGAATTTTGTACATTTTATTAAATTATAACTTATAAGTTAAAACTATTCATAAACTTTATATTATGACACAATAGTAAAAACAATTTATTGTCGAACTATTGTCTAATCACACGAGATATCATTTAAACACACATTTATTGTAAAATTCATTATCAGTCAAACAGTCGTTAATTTTTTACAACAAATACCACAAAACAAATATTATAAATCTACTAAAAATAGTGAAATTAATGTTTGTCTAAATTAAAGTATCATTAAATCACACGAGACATCATTTCAATAATCATATAATTTTGAAATTTATTATCAATCAAACAGTTGTTACTTTTGATCAAAAATACCACAAAACAAGTGTTAACCCAATGTCTGAATTGTCTTTGTATCGAATGACCGGAAAAACAACACAAATGTCGGCAACATTTGTACTGACAGTGATTATGGTATCTCTGGCACACATGGAGTGCGCCGACGATAAGTGCGAATCTGTGGCCCCAAACGGCACATACAGTTGGCTTTGGTTACGATCGGAGTACACGTCGATATACAACGAAACTGATCTGAGACAAGACATGTATCACATGGGTCGGCGCCATCAATAGTAACTATCTTTATGGTCGTGACGTGTTGCCATAGGGTCAGCACAACAAACACCAGTAATATCGGACTCGTTGTTCAAACCGTTTTCCACGGCGTCGATCAGCTGTGATTAAACCGCCCGATGTGGTGATTATGAACTGTTACATTTAAACCAATGGCACCAAAACCAAGTACCGGTTTCTTTCAATACTGGGTATGTAACTGAAGAAGGCATCGGTTCGGACGACGTGCTCTTCAGGTCCATACCGACCTCTCGGTACACCTATATTGCGATCGCCCCCCGACTCCACCGATCAAACATTGAGATATTTGGAAGCGGTAACGACTGGTCGCCTAAGGGAGAGATAAGAGACTATGTGGGGGACTATGCCGCCCGGGTCATCGTCACCGATTTTACTTACCACCAGTGGGCACAAGTTGTCTGTATTGTGGACTATACTCTCAGATCACACAGACAAAGTAAACCTTTGGTTTTGGTGAAAGTTAATGACCGACCCGTGTATTGTGTGGCAATAAGCCGTCCGAAGAGTACGCCGACAAGTGGTGGTGGTATCCCAACCAATGGTAGTGCTGAAAATGGCTCTACAGGTAGTGGTGGTGTGGGTTTAGATACAACAGTTAGTGGCGTACCCACGATGTCGATCGGCGACACCAACGCACCCGTCCAGTCGACCATTACTACCGCCAGACCGACAGCTATGACCCCATCGGGCGCTACAAAACCGGGTGACAAGACTTGGATTTACATTTTGGTGATAGTTGTGGTGTTTTGTGTGCTATTAGTTGCGGCCGTTTTCACGTATAATAGCTGCCAATCGTCCGCTGGAAAGGGATCCCAAACCCAAGAGATGGCCGACAAAGAGACGGCCACTACTCGCACGCAATCCACTGTCGAGTCATCGTAATGTGTGTTTGCATTCATTTCTGCGTTTTTTGGCAGTCATTTTAATGTATTTTTCAATATTTATATTTTTTAATTGTATTGTTTTCTTACATTTTAATGATTTTGTTTTAATTAATTTATTGCCAAATATTTGTTTTATAATAGAGTTATAAACAACTCACATACAGCGATGCTATACGTTAACCACAATTCGAAAAATGCATCAAAGATTTTAAATTTTTCAATACTTTTGTTAGAATACTTTCACTATTGTTATTTTAAGAATTTTAAATGTTGTTGCCAACAATAAGTTCTATTTATAATGGCAAATTTATTTATAATCCCATTGTCTCATTGGTAAATCATTACACATGTTATCCCTATGCCATTGACTTATCATTGTCTATAGACTTAGCACTGCCCATGTTATTCCTATGTCATAGACTTAACATTGTCCATAGGATTAGCATTGCTTTAGACTTAGCATTGCCATAGATTTAGCATTACCTATGTTATTCCTATGCCATAGACGTAGCATTACTCTTGTTAAAGTATAGCCATAAATTTAAGATGTAATCCCATGTTAATTTCCCATAGATTCAAGAATCCCATGTTAAAGTATAGCCATAGACTTAAGCTGTAATCCTATGTTAAATTCCATAGGATGGGGGTTGGGGGAAGGGTAGCCGAACGATACTACAAACCACATTATTCATACTGAATTGTGGTTAAAAATTTGAGTTTTAAATTATTAATTTAATTTTTAACTATATGTACTGTAGTTTTAATAAAATAAAAATTAATATTCTTAAGGTGCGGCTCTGATCGAGTTGCGCGCCAATACTTGCGGTCACTTTCGGACAAAAGTTACCACAAGAAGAATGAAAGTTATGCCGACTCTTATACGGTGCGCTGTCTGATCGATGGCGCCGTTAGAGAGGCAGTGCTGTCGTGTCATTTAGATCGTCGAGCGGTGGGACGGGTTTGACTTTACTTCAAACGGACCGACCCTTTGATCGTCTTCGGGACCGAACCCTAAAGAGACACTACTCTATAAACACTGTATGTCTGCCGCAAATGAACCGTACGTTCACTTCGGGAAATGCGACTGTTTTTGGTTTTGGTTATGTCAGTGAAAAGGGCCGGAAATCCGATAACTTACAGAAAGCTATACTAGAACTCTGGGCCTTTGATTCTGTGTCAGTTGTGTTGTGTAAAGTCCCCAACTATAATAGACTGTGCGCCTCGTCTATCAAAGGCCGCACCTGTCGGGTAGGTTTTTGGCACAAATACAGCACAAGTTTTAAAACGAGTTAATAATTGTATTGTTTGTATGAATTAAAGGGTGATTCGGGCGGCGGTTGGGTTCAGTATAACGACCGATACGGGACTCAAGCGGTGGTTATTGGGATCCATAAAGGTTCTGATGTTCTCAGTTTGTGCAGTAATAGGACATCATTTGCCATCAATGTATCGCATGAAATGCAATGGATTTTGGATACCATTGCAAACAATCCTTTATAAATATTTAGTAATTTATATAAAGAATTAGTTAGAATTACTTTAGAATTATTTAGTTTTGACATTCATTTTAACAAGTATTTTCATAAATTCCCATAGAAATGTATTATAACAAAAAATAAGTATTTTAATATTAATATTATGAGAAAATAGCGCAACAGAAATTGAATAAAATACAGTAAAAAAATGTTATCAGATAATAAAAGCATTTTGTTAATAATTTTCTGGTTATCGATAACATTATATAACAAATGATAACAATATGTATTTTAATAATGTTTTGCATTATTTATTTCTTGCGTTTTAACTTTTAATTTAAAATAATTGACTTTTGGATTTTATAATTGTTTTTTAGTTATAAAGACAGTTACGATTACATAAAATTAATTTTAAACTTTTACAGTCATTTCTCACAAATGTATTTGTTTGTGATTTTAAATATGAAAAAATTATTTCCAATTGATTTTATTGTAAAGATATTTATTATCTCACAATTGACTGCAAAAATGAATGCAGAGTTTGTATCGAAAGGCGATTACAAGAATCACCAGAAATATGGCATAAATACCTATGAATGCGGTCTAAGATATGAACCGATTTTAGTTAATATAAGTTTTCCAACAAAATGCTTTCAAATCAATCATTCAATGATTCAAATAATGGACGAAGAGGTCTACTATCATATGAATGAACCGAATATCACTTCAAGCCGTATAGCAAATGGTACGGACGCTGTGATGACTGATAAGCCATCTGAGGCACCATGGGCAGTTAGGGTTAAATTGAGAGAATTATTTATAAATGATAACGACAGATGTTCCGGTGTATTGATTGCCATGAATTGGGTCTTAACGTCCGCCCATTGTTTGGAAGAGTAAATAATTAGATATTAGTCTAGAGATCGTCATTGTTACAAATTTTTAATTTAGTATTATAAATTTGTCGCATTGACGCTCGCTGGAATAGAGTATTAATATAAGTGTCATAAATAATTTGTATTGATAAAAATGTAGCCACTGGTACGCGACATTAGTTATAAAGACCTCATCGCTTAAGGGCGTTCAGACCCGACACGTGAACCAAACATTTAAGACGCCGAGCGGTGCGGACTTGGCTATGCTTCAAACGGACCGACACTTTACTCGATTCCGGGATCGCGTATTGAAGAGACACTACTCTATAAACACCGTATGTCTGCCGGAAATGAATCGTACGTTCACTTCGGGAAATGTGACGGTTTTTGGTTTCGGTTATATCAGTGATAAGGGCTGGCGATCCGATAAACTACAGAAAGCTATACTAAAACTTTGGGCCTTTGATTTGGTGTCAGTCGTGTTTTGTGAAATCACTGATTATAATAGACTGTGCGCCTCATCTATTAAAGGCCGCACCTGTCGAGTAGATTTGATTTTTGGCATAATTATAGTGTAAGTTTTCAAACAAGTTAATAATTTTGTTTTTGTATAAATTAAAGGGTGATTCGGGCGGCGGTTGGGTTCAGTATAACGACCGGTACGGGACTCAAGCGGTGGTTATTGGCATTCATAAAGGTTCTGATGTTTATACGAGGTGTAGTAATAGGACTTCAATTGCCATCAATTTATCGTATGAAATACAATGGATTTTGGATACCATTGCAAACAATACTTCATGAATAGATAAAAATCTATATAAAAATAGTATTCAATTTATAAACATTTACATTATTTATATCTCGAATTTAATATTTATTTAAAAATATTTAATTTGTGAATTTAATTTTGATTATAATTTTCTCACAAACATATTTGTGTTTGACTTTAAATATGAATAAATTATTTGTAATTGATTTCATTGTAAAGATATTTATTATCTCACAATTGAATGCAGAGTTTGTATCGAAAGGCGATTACAAGAATCACCAGAAATATGGCATAAATACCGATGAATGCGGTCTAAGATATGAACCGATTTTAGTTAATTTAAGTTTTCCTAAGAAATGTTTTCAAACCAATCACTCAATGCTTCAAACACTGGACAAAGAAGTCTACTATCATATGAACGAACCGGACATCACTTCAAATCGTGTAGTGGATGGGGAGGACGCAGTGGTGTCGGGCAAACCCTTAATAGCACCATGGGCAGTTAGCATTCACTTCAGAACACTAGGCTTTTTAAGCACAGACATATGTTCCGGTGTATTAATTGCAATGAATTGGGTCTTAACGGCCGCCCATTGTTTAAATGAGTAATTGATAATACTATTTATAAAGAGATAATTACATATAATATAATAAACATGTATAATAATAATTTTTATTAATCATACTAGTTGATTAAAATACATGATTTGTCAAAAATTGTTAAAATAATTGTTAAAATTACATGTTTTAGCCACTGGAGTGTGCCATGGGTGATAAGGGCCTCTCCGTATAGGAGCGCAGGCTTTCAAACGCGGTATACGAAGACATTTATAGCGTTCAATGAATCCGACGTGGGTTTGATTCAAACGGACCGACCCTTTACTCGACTCCGGGACCGCACCCTAAAGAGACACTACTCTATAAACACTGTATGTCTGCCGGAAATGAATGGGAATTTTAGTTCTGGAAATGTGACGGTATTTGGTTTCGGTTACACCGGAGATGACGGGTCAAAATCCGAGAATCTACAGAAAGCTATACTAGAGCTCTGGTCCTATGATGTGATGTCTGACCAGTTGTGTGCTCTCAATACAATCTGCGGCTCGTCTATCAAAGGCCGATTATGTCGAGTATAATTGCCATACATTTTTAAACATGCTATTAATTGTATAAACGTACGAATTATAGGGCGATTCTGGCGGCGGTTGGATAGGCTATAACGACCGGTACGGGACTCAGGCCATAGTGTTGGGCATCCATTCAGAATCCGTAAAAAACAATACCTTTTGCTCTATGGGGAGAGCATATGCCGTCTCTGTCTCGCATGAAATACAATGGATTTTGGATACCATTGCAAACAATACTTCATAAATAGATTTAAAACATTTATATAAAAATTTATTTCAACCTTTTTAATGTAATATAATATTTTCACAAAAATGTATTAAATATATCAATTACTATTGATTAGTTCAATTATAAAAACAAACATAAAAAGCAGTAAATTAACCAAATATCAAGTTTACATTATTTACATCTCGAGTATTACTATTTATTTTGAAATAATTAATTTATGAATTTAAGTTTGACTATGATTTTTTTACAAACGTATTTATGTTTTCCTTTAAATATGAATAAATTATTTCCAATTGATTTCATTATAAAGATATATATTATTTCACAATTTACTGCAAAAATGAATGCAGAGTTTGTATCGAAAGGCGATTACAAGAATCACCAGAAATATGGCATAAATACCAATGAATGCGGTCTAAGATATGAACCGATTTTAGTTAATATAAGTTATCCGAAAAAATGCTTTCAAACCAATCATTCAATGATACAAATACTGGACAAAGAGGTCTACAATCATATAAACAAAACGGGCATCACTTCAAGCCGTATAGTTGATGGTGAAAATGCTGTGGTATCTGGCAAACCATTGCAAGCACCATGGGCAGTTAGCATTCACTTTAGACTTTTTAATATTATAGACTATGAGGACTGTTCCGGTGTATTGATTGCTATGAATTGGATCTTAACGGCCGCACATTGTATTGATAGGTATATACAGTATATGTTTATACATTATTGGAAGTACTGCAAGAAATTGTGATACAAATACCTTCAATAATTTGTTTGTGTTAATAACATAGCCGTTGGTACGGAAAATATATGCTAAGAGCGTCGCCGTACAGAAGCGCAGGCTTTCAGACCCGACATATTAACCAAACATTTAACTCGTCGAGCGGTGCGGACTTGGCTTTGATTCAAACGGACCGACCCTTTGACCGACTTCGGGACCGCACACTAAAGAGACACTACTCTATAAACACTGTATGTCTGCCGGAAATGAATAAAAATTTTACTTCAGGAAATGTTACGGTATTTGGTTTCGGTTACACCGGAGACGACGGTTCGCGATCCGATAAACTACATAAAGCTATACTAGAATTGTGGTTTTATAATTCATGGGACGACCTGGTGTGTGACCAGAGTATTGCCACGAATCATATGTGTGCCAACTCTATTAAGGGTCGCTTATGTCATGTATAATCACCTCAAGTTTTAAATAAGTTGTTAATGTTATGTTTGTATGAATGAAAGGGTGATTCGGGCAGCGGTTGGATTCGATATAACGATTGGTACGGGACTCAGGCGATAGTGTTGGGCATCCATTCACAATCTGAAATATTCAGTAAATTTTGCAGTACTGGCAGAGCATATGCTGTCTCTGTATCGCCTGAAATACAATGGATTTTGAATACCATTGCAAACAATACATAATATAAATCATATATATTAATTTATCCAGTATATTAATAAATTACCACTTATACAAAATTACCTATTTTACTCTTAATAAGAGAATTGTAAAAGTAAAATAAAAACAAAAAATGAAACTTAATTAAATTGACTAGTTAGTAAATATTTTACAATTTAACATTGTTTCTCTCTTGAGTTTTAATAATAGAAAATAATTTAAATTTGTTGGACTAACAGTTATAATTAAATAAAACCCATTTCAACGTTTTGTTGCCATTTCTTACAAACAAATTTGTGTTTGACTTTAAATATGAATCAATTATTTCCAATTGATTTTATTGTTAAGATATTTATTATCTCACAATTGATTGCAAAAATGAATGCAGAGTTTGTATCGAAAGGCAATTACAAAAGTCA